CCACACAGGTATGATCGGTGTAACCGTGGCCACACAGGTATGGTCGGTGTAACCGTGGCCACACAGGTATGGTCGGTGTAACCGTGGCCACACAGGTATGGTCGGTGTAACCGTGGCCACACAGGTATGGTCGGTGTAACCGTGGCCACACAGGTATGGTCGGTGTAACCGTGGCCACACAGGTATGGTCGGTGTAACCGTGGCCACACAGGTATGGTCGGTGTAACCGTGGCCACACAGGTATGGTCGGTGTAACCGTGGCCACACAGGTATGGTCGGTGTAACCGTGGCCACACAGGTATGGTCGGTGTAACCGTGGCCACACAGGTATGGTCGGTGTAACCGTGGCCACACAGGTATGGTCGGTGTAACCGTGGCCACACAGGTATGGTCGGTGTAACCGTGGCCACACAGGTATGGTCGGTGTAACCGTGGCCACACAGGTATGGTCGGTGTAACCGTGGCCACACAGGTATGGTCGGTGTAACCGTGGCCACACAGGTATGGTCGGTGTAACCGTGGCCACACAGGTATGGTCGGTGTAACCGTGGCCACACAGGTATGGTCGGTGTAACCGTGGCCACACAGGTATGGTCGGTGTAACCGTGGCCACACAGGTATGGTCGGTGTAACCGTGGCCACACAGGTATGGTCGGTGGACCGTGGCCACACAGGTATGGTCGGTGGACCGTGGCCACACAGGTATGGTCGGTGGACCGTGGCCACACAGGTATGGTCGGTGGACCGTGGCCACACAAGTATGGTCAGTGGACCGTGGCCACACAGGTATGGTCGGTGGACCGTGGCCACACAGGTATGGTCGGTGGACCGTGGCCACACAGGTATGGTCGGTGGACCGTGGCCACACAGGTATGGTCGGTGGACCGTGGCCACACAAGTATGGTCAGTGGACCGTGGCCACACAGGTATGGTCGGTGGACCGTGGCCACACAGGTATGGTCGGTGGACCGTGGCCACACAGGTATGGTTGGTGGACTGTGGCCACACAGGTATGGTTGGTGGACTCCAGGACATGTAAGTACAAGATTTTTGTTGATCCTAAGGTTCTGGATGTCTATATAATCTCAACTTTGATTAGGGGATCTTTCAATTTTCTTTTTATCTGCGTTTTGTGATAGTGTTGTGGTTGGGACAGTGTTGTGGTTGGGACAGTGCTGTGGTTGGGACAGTGCTGTGGTTGAGACAGTGCTGTGGTTGGGACAGTGCTGTGGTTGGGACAGTGCTGTGGTTGGGACAGTGCTGTGGTTGGGACAGTGCTGTGGTTGGGACAGTGCTGTGGTTGGGACAGTGCTGTGGTTGGGACAGTGCTGTGGTTGGGACAGTGCTGTGGTTGGGACAGTGCTGTGGTTGGGACAGTGCTGTGGTTGGGACAGTGCTGTGGTTGGGACAGTGCTGTGGTTGGGACAGTGCTGTGGTTGGGACAGTGCTGTGGTTGGGACAGTGCTGTGGTTGGGACAGTGCTGTGGTTGGGACAGCGTTGTGGTTGGGACAGTGTTGTGTTTGGGACAGTGTTGTGGTTGGGGCTGTGTTGTGGTTGGGACAGTGTTGTGGTTGGGACAGTGTTGTGGTTGGGACAGTGTTGTGGTTGGGACAGTGTTGTGGTTGGAACAGTGTTGTGGTTGGGGCTGTGTTGTGGTTGGGGCAGTGTTGTGATTGGGGCAGTGTTGTGGTTGGGGCAGTGTTGTGGTTGGGGCAGTGTTGTGGTTGGGACAGTGTTGTGGTTGGGGCTGTGTTGTGGTTGGGACAGTGTTGTGGTTGGGACAGTGTTGTGGTTGGGGCTGTGTTGTGGTTGGGGCTGTGTTGTGGTTGGGACAGTGTTGTGGTTGGGGCAGTGTTGTGGTTGGGGCAGTGTTGTGGTTGGGACAGTGTTGTGGTTGGGACAGTGTTGTGGTTGGAACAGTGTTGTGGTTGGAACAGTGTTGTGGTTGGGGCAGTGTTGTGGTTGGGACAGTGTTGTGGTTGGGACAGGGTTGTGGTTGGGACAGTGTTGTGGTTGGGACAGTGTTGTGGTTGGGACAGTGTTGTGGTTGGGACAGTATTGTGAATGGATGCGGCTTCCACAACTACCTCTATTAATGCATTCCATAAATTGGCCGCTCGTACTGGGTACGAGTCTTTCTTTACAACTCGTTCAACTCCTCGGGGCCCAAGAGCCAGAGCTCAACCCTCGCAAGCACAACTAGGTGAATACAACTATCATTTTCAGCTCCCGCTTGTTTCCTCTTGTTCTATTGTTTTTCATATTTTTTAAAATGCAGCCCCTGTCCACCTTGTCTATTTCCATCTGTATCGTGTATGTTGTGAGCATTTTCCTTCTGTTTGTCTCTTTCAGGTCTTCTGGCATCAAAGGTGCAACTCCAAGTTCATCAACCCTATGAAGTTTGACCTTTAGGGCTTCAATATCCTTATTTTTTCTACTGTCTTCTGTGTTTCTTGAAATTGTTTCCCCTGAGAAAAACCTTCTCCTTGCATTCTTCTTATCACTTCTTCCCGTTACATACTCTTCTCCATATCTTCTTGCGACGCCACAGCAGCGATGCCACAGACTCCCTCACACAGTAAACATTACTCTTGCACCACATATCTTGGTTATCTTAAGGTTATCTTGAGATGATTTCGGGGCTTTAGTGTCCCCGCGGCCCGGTCCTCGACCAGGCCTCCACCCCCAGGAAGCAACCCGGGACAGCTGACTAACACCCAGGTACCTATTTTACTGCTAGGTAACAGTGGAATAGGGTTAAAGAAACTCTGCCCATTGTTTCTCTCCGGCGCCTGGGATCGAACCGAGGACCACAGGATCACAAGTCCAGCGCACTGTCCGCTCGGCCGACCGGCTCCCTCCCACATAAGGGCACGCCACGATGTGCAAGCTGCTTAATAACAGCTGTTTTACATTCGTGGACCTGAGTGGTGGTGTGCGTGTAAGATGAAGCTGTGAGTGGAGTGTGAGTCACACAATGACACCAGAAGCCAAGAGCCACAGGAGTTAAGCAGACACCATTGCAACTCCCCGTCAACATCGGTTGAACAATAACTACACACTCTGACCCAACAAGAGGACTAAATCTTAGTAAAATAAGATTGAGCTTTGTACCGGCATATTATAAAATAAGGGAGGTTGATGGTGTAATAATAGAGATTGGATCCAATTTTTTGTGCCACTAATCCCATTTATTGCAGGTGCGGTTATGCCATGGGCTTACAACCCCACCTCAGTAAGTACACTACTTCCCACTAAAATAATTATATACTAACTAGGCTAATCAATATTTAAATATTTGATATATTGCAATTGTTTAAAGACATCTTAATGTATACATTTGCAATAAATTCATTGCAATAAAGAATTAAATAATCTTGTCATTTTTTTAAATATAATACATTTATGGCAAGATACCAGATCAGATGGATAGGGTAAAATAACATGTAACCGTATCAGTGCTGCTGCATTATACACACTTAGTTTTTTATAAAGTGGTAAAGTGGTGATTCTCATCCGACAGGTAAATGAAAGTAGCACCATTCCTGGTGGATCACACTGAGACTGAGCCACCTAGGGGAACACAGAGAATAGGGGAAGGGAACTATCAGGGAAAAGCACCAAGCCATAACGACTAAATAGCACTTGGAAGGAGGTCAGGATAAGGATTTGGGATGGGACGGGGGGGAAAGGAATAGTGCCCAACCACTTGAACGGTCGGTGATTGAACGCCGACCGGCATGAAGTGAGACCATCGCTCTACCGTCCACCCCAAGTGATTGGGAACACAGAGAATAGATAAAGTCCACTACCTCATGAAGACAGCACCAGTTTCCTAGAGGCCACTGGATATGACTACTGTCACTGTTGCCAACTAAGTTTTCTGTTATGTTAGTAATTAGATCTTTACTTCAGGGAGTCAGAAAGTTAAAAATAACAACCTTCACCACAGTAGCTGTGGCTAACCTGGCGACCACGCATGGAATTAACTGTATTGGCGTCAAGATCCCGCCACACCGAATAAGGAAGGAACGTGTCTACGATAATCAACAGTGCTTCAAGTGCTACGAATACTCCCTTCCCACCACCAAGTGTCACCATCTCTCCAAGAGGTGCAGCATCTGCAACCAGAATCACTATTACACAATCTGCAAGTCAAATCCCAAGTGCTGCCTGCTCTGCAAAGGTCGTCTTTGCAACCATCAGCGATCTTCCACCGCTACCCGCGAAGACTATCAAACAACTGGCCGAGTCGAAGACAGGTCATCAAACAACTGGCAGAGTCGAATAAAGCTGAACCAGCCGTCTCCGCCATCGGCGCCATCATCATCATCTCCAACACCCACCAGCCACCCAGAGGCCTCCCCCGTCTTACCAAGAGGAGGCTCCACCCACCAGACATCTCAGCCTTCTTACTGGGACAACACTGGTCAATCGGCCCCTGCCTCAAGAACCCTCCCTGCCCAAGAGGGAATCATTCCAGGCCTCATCAGGCTCGCTGAGACACTTACTGCGGCAAGCAATCACCGGTTCGTCGAGATATTCAACTCGCTGTATGTTTCCAATGGCCTCGACACCATCACCGCCCCAGAAAAAGTACTCTCCTTCTCTAAAACAACAACCTCTACCCAGACCTCGGCACCATCCACTGTACCTGCAGCAGCACCTTCTTCACCGGCCACCAACTCTCCCTCAACAACACCACCAAGCACCAGCCTGGACGAGGCACTCACCGACCCGCTGCCTTTGCCTGTCACCCACGCTAACAACGCGCCAGTGGGAGCGACGACCAACTCCCCTCGCCCCACCCCGGCAGCACAAGCAGGCCCGTACCCAGGACTCCAGCAGTACCCACGTCTAAACCACCTGCCTCGGAAGCCCCTTCTGACTCGTTCGACGAGGAAGTCCAAGTCACAGGAATACCTCCACACCACCGACACGACACCCACAATCATCCTCAACGAACGTGAATGACAGCACCGCCATGTCAGTACGAAGCATGGCGCACCAGCCGTCCCGAAGACGCACAGACCAGCCTCAAGCAAGACAACTGCCAATGACCATCATAACCCATTCACACAGGAGGTATAAACATCCATCCGCCTTTTTATCGGGTAGGGGGACTTAAATATTGCTGTTTTTTCCTCTTGATATTCCTGGACCTAAGACCACCACCGAAACGACTGCCACAGAACACAGAAGACTGTGTTCTGTGCACCACCGAGGGTAGTAGCAGTACCGCCACAGCCGCCCTTTCACAACCCGACTCGATGCCTAGCCAGCTGCGGAGTATTCAGTCGTGTGTAGCTCAGCATCATATTTCAACACGCATGTGGGTTAAGCCCTGGCACTGTTTCTTCAACTTCAGCGCTTCCTCTCACCGGCTTCTCTTCAGCTACCCACTTAAAGCTCGCCCACTGGGTATCTTGTCCTGTATCTAGTCTAGTCTCTCTAGCATTTACAGAGTTCAATTCGAACAGAGGTCATCGACGAAGTCGAGAAATGTTCGAACGTCATCAGCTGTGAGTCGTGTGTAAAGTGTTTTTCATTCAAAAACATGTTAAAAGATACACAGAATGAACATTTGGCCTCTGCTGAGGACAGGCTGCATTCCACTATAGGCTCGAGCGAGGGTCGTCTCAGTGACATTACAGTAGCCTGTCCCCCTAAGGGTTCCCAATGTCAAAAAAACATCCAATATAAAGTGTCCTCTCCTAACCTACCAGAGAACCCAGAACAGAAAACGGAGGGCAAAACAAAGTACGTCACTTTTGCGAGCCGCTTCCATTTTCTAGTACGATAATTTTTGGCCTTATGTAACGCATACGAGCGAAAAACGACGTTCTTTGTAAGAGGACAGGTTGATTACGTGGGCCATGGCCACGTTTTCTGTGAAGAACTCGGGAGGTAGGTCTCCTTGTTCCCTTGCAATGCCGTTGTTACTTCTGATTTCGCTCTCTGTGCCGTATTCAGTTCCATAGGCATGGGCCGCGTTATTAATCCATTTGTACTTGCCCCATTTTGTCTCATATGTCACAGGGACGATTAGGGAGTGCCACTCACCATCTTGAACTTGTTGATGGTCTCACTGTAGATGCTGTTCAGTCAATCTATTCTTTCAGTATTGTCTTATATTTCTATTAGTCCGGGGCTGTTTTAATTCCTTAAACACACTAAGTTGTAACCCAAAACACTAAGCCTTAACCTAAAACACTAAGTCTTAAATAGAATAAGTGAAATGGTCACATCTCTCAGTGTATATACATGAGTTACTGAATGATACAACATGTTTTCTATAATGCTTAAAATGTAGGATCCAGATACTTCGTTTTTTCTAACTAGACTGCAGAAATTTGAGGTACATCTAAAGAAAACGTACCATCCCTACCACCCACATGATAGGAATGGGGTACTCTTTCGCCCACAGGATGGGTACGGGGTCCACTACCGTCCACAGGATGGGTACGAGGTCCACTACCGTCCACAGGATGGGTACGAGGTCCACTACCGTCCACAGGATGGGTACGAGGTCCACTACCGTCCACAGGATGGGTTTAGAGTTGAATCTAAAACAACCACCACCACCTCTCCCTCACGACCAAAGATCACATTCACTCCAAAAAAAGGCTTTTTTGGAGTGAATGTGACAGGCACTTGCAGGCTTTTCATGCCCAAGCCACCTCTTGGGTGGCTTAATCTTCATCAATCAAGCCTATCTCTCTCACACGAGACTTGATAAGGGTCCAGGACGGACCGAAACGCCCGGCGTATCGGGCGGGCTTCGACGGGGTACGAAGTACAACGGGCTCACCATAGCCCGTGCTGCTTGGAACTTTTTGTTCCCAGTAGCTGAATCTTAAACAAACCGAAACGTCGCCGGTTCTCCATCTTCTGACGCGTGGTTTGATCATCATATATTCAGCCACGATATTGTGACTCATCGTCTAGATTTTATAAATTTTAATTATATTTTTATATTATAAATTATTGTTTCTCAAATTCAAAAACGTTATTATTCATTCTGCTAACACTATCTCTTTATTATTTTGTTATTATTGTTGATGATATTAAAATGAATTAATAACGTCAAACAACACTTCTGTAAAGAATATTCTTGCCATGTAGTTGACCTCAGACTGTCACATTCTTTATAGTCAGGCACTGTGTCATCAGACGACAGTCATTACATAACACTGTCAACAGGTGTTTGTGCCAGGTGACACAGTCACTATCTCCTACTGTCATCAGGTGTTTGTGCCAGGTGACACAGTCACTATCTCCTACTGTCAACAGGTGTTTGTGCCAGGTGACACAGTCACTATCTCCTACTGTCAACAGGTGTTTGTGCCAGGTGACACAGTCACTATCTCCTACTGTCAATAGGTGTTTGTGCCAGATGACACAGTCACTATCTCCCACTGTCATCAGGTGTTTGTGCCAGGTGACACAGTCACTATCTCCTACTGTCAATAGGTGTTTGTGCCAGATGACACAGTCACTATCTCCCACTGTCATCAGGTGTTTGTGCCAGGTGACACAGTCACTATCTCCCACTGTCATCAGGTGTTTGTGCCAGGTGACACAGTCACTATCTCCCACTATCATCAACAGGTGTTCGCGTCACTGATGGTCGGGTTCATGCAGCTTAGTGTTGGCTTCGGGATGGCCTTCTCTGGGATCACACTTCCTCAGCTCACCAACCCAGAGGTCGGCGACCTCCTCCTCACTCCCCTCCAGCAGGCGCTTTACGGTAGGAGAAAGCACCATTTTAGGCCCCCCTCTGGCAGACTAGTGGCTGTAGCGGTGTTGTCTTGCTGTCGGAAATTCCGACACTAGATTACTAACACCCAATATAACCAGCAAGCACGGTCATACCAGGAACATACTAATATTCCTAATTGCTATAAGATCTATTAAGATGTTGTTAATTTACATTAATCATGAAAGGATTATAGAGAACGGGAGATCCGTGACGTCATCAAAACATGCATTTACTCAACACGTATACTTAAAACTAACAGTCTAGTGATTAAACTTGATAGAAAAGTGTTCTCCATGATTTAACTTAAACAAATGTACCCTAATATTAATATTGATACTAAGAAAACGGAAGAACAGAAAGCTTACACAATAAACTCAACGGCGCCAGCAATGCGGTCATACTAAACCAAATATGTTTAAAACGAACGCCCCTGGCCTCCAAAGTCGAACTGCCATAGAAATAAAACTCTTACGTAGAAATTACTAAATATTAAATATTACATATGTTTTAATGGTCGTCAATAGAACATTTAAGGTAATATACCTTAAGGTGATTAAGGTGATCGAGGAACTATTGTGGAGTTGGCAGCCCGACACTGAAGTTCATAAGCTAATGATTATTTCCTCCAATACAGGGAGTCTGGTGTATCTCGGGTTGCTGGTGGGCTGCTGTGCTGGTGGGCCCGTGATGCTGAGCCTGGCCCAACGTATCATCTTCCTGATAGTTGTGTCTGCCTCGGTGGCCTTCTGGCTCCTGCTGGCCTCCTCCGCCAGGGTGTGGGTACTCCTCACCTCCCGGGCACTCCTTGGTTTCACTTTTGGAGTGGCAATACCCATCTCCGTCGCATACCCTATCGAGATTCTCCATCAAGACATGCGAGGAGCTCTTTGTACCTTAATTTTGTTGGCACGACAATTGGGCATATTGCTGGCATCAGTTGTTGGGATTTCCAATCTCAGCTGGCGACAAATGGGATTCCTGAATTCCGGAATGACGGTCATTCCCTTCATTGGCTTCCTGTTCCTGCCAAACTCTCCTCGCTGGCTAGTCACTCGCGGCCGTGTCAGTGATGCTGAGAAAGCTCTCATTTTCTTCAGAGGAAAACATTACGACTTTCAACCAGAACTGAAAGCCATTGTAGAACAATCTGAAAATTCAAGCAGAGGCACAAGTAACTTTTGGCAACAACTACGAATAATCAAAGAGCCATCCGTGTACCGGATATTCTGCTTAATGTTATTTCTTACTCTTTGTGTAGCTTTCGATGGGAGCTACTCTCTGACGGCATACTTAGTGCCCATCTTCAAGACAATGAAGACCAGTCTGGATCCGTACACCTGTTCCATAATATTTAATGTTATCAGGCTGGTCGGGACCTTCTTATCACTGTGTGTAACTGATCGTCTGGGACGAAGACCACTGATCATAGTTTCGTACTGCGTGTGTGCTGTGTGCTTGGCTGCTTGTGGTGGCTGCTTCTACATACAGGAGTCAGGCAGTGCCTCGGGCCTGGAGTGGCTGCCACTTAGTGCCGTGTTCATATTCAATTTTTTTGTTGGTAGTGGCCAACCAATCATTGTTGTGTTAATCGCAGAACTGATCCCTTCATCTTTCCGTGCTATTGGATTCTCAGTGAACAATTCGATATTAGCAACAGGGACGTTCGCAGCATCCATGAGTTACCCAGTAACAGCAGAGACACTTGGGCAACACGGGGCCTTTTGGGTCTTCAGTGTAGTGTGTGGCATCCTGGCCCTCGTCAGCGCTCTCACTCTGCCTGAGACGCGGGGTCGTACCCTGGAGGAGATCTCGGACCATCGCAAGAACCAACCTTATGAGAACTGTAACTAGGGAAAATCTTGACAACCATGCTGAACAATGATATTCCCAGGAGTAGAGTGGACGCTTTTGAAGACACTTGAAATGAACAATAAAATATATATACTATAGTTAACTCATGTATATGTTGTTTCAGAGTTCAGCCTGTATTCCCCTATTCCCCCCCCCCCCCCATATAAGAGTCATATTTCTCTATCTGTACATATCTAGAAGAAGTTTTAGTTGATTTTGTGATGAAAGGATGCAAGATGTAGCATTTAGAAGAAAAATCTATTTCAGTTTAATAGGGATGAGGCTATGAGACGCCGCCTCCATGTTAAGATGGCGGTGCGAGCCAAGAAGCAGGTGAGTTCCCGGTCGAAGACAAAACCCCAGTGCATGATGAACACAGTGCCAGGTGTGGCGTGATTGGTCGGCGGCGGGGGCTTGGCCCGGTAAACCAATGGCGTCGCGCCCCGGGCATGACGTATTGTGAAGTCTGGCATCCTGCGGAGGAAGGCCGGAAATTGAGTTACTCACTTCCAAGGTTCCTGTTGAGCGGAAGTACGCTCAAGCGATTACCCATTCAGGAGACGTATAGGACTCCAGTGAGGTAAAATTCAATCAGCTACCGTATGTTAACGAAGAGGGTGGCCTGTCGACTCCCAAGGGAGTATTGAGGAATACTGGATGTTGAGGAGCAGCACCAGTGGCTGGGCGATGTCGGTGAACTGGGAAATTTCGAGGAGCGGCGCTGGGGGTTGTAGAACAACCAGCGGGCCGTGCAGGGAGCTGTATAAAGAGAAATTGGTAGACGTCCTGGTCCTGTGCAGTTCAACAACCTTTTATCCTTACGACGAAGCTACATGAGAGGCGGTGGACCAGTACGCGGAAGTGCATTTAGTCTGGATTGGCCAGGCGACATCAGTATCAACCCAACATGCGGTGAGGCACACCTGGTGGAGGAGCGGCGCTCGGTGAGGAGTGTATGGACTCACAGCGCTGTGGATACGCTCGCCAGCAGGGAAGTCGACTTAGACGTCTTGGACTTATGAGAAGCTACTCGACGCCTCTACGCTCTGCTATATCTACGGTCTACAGTACCAATTTACAAGGTCGATAAGTTTGCCTCTACCATTTTCCCCTTTGGTTAGGAAAGGTGTTGTACATTAATAAGGTCATGATGGAACTTACGTAAGGAGTGATATCGGGCATGGCCAGTGCTATTATTATTATATATCAGTGTTTGTCTTCATGAGTTGATTGAATAGTGATCTGAAGGTTACAAGCATATGAAGAGGCGTATTAATACCTGTTTAAGTTAACATGATGTGTGTCTGGGGTAAGAGAGTTTCCCAGCCTCAGAACGGCTGGGAAACGGGAAGTGTTGCCAGATATTGTGATTAATTTCAAGTGTTGCTGACAAACTGATTTAGAGAGATTTCACAGAGCGAAATGGTGTAGCATATTATATACTGAGTAAACGAAGGATATTTTACTAGTGTGTTTCCTTCCTCCGCTTCATTTCTTTTTGGTTGTTGTTGGGGTTTACTGTTCACCAATCCTGAGGGAAAATCCTAGCAGGCAAATATTTGTTTTTATTCTTTGTGAATATTTATTTTCTATTTTTGTTTTTGTTACTGCAATATTTATGATTCTAAGCGGACTGTATATTTGATTCCGCCTGCCAGAATTTATCTGTGCATAGTTAGAGTGATGTTTACAGCTTATACTACAATGGGTGGATAGAATAATAAACTATAAATATTTACCTTATTTTCATGTAAATTATACCACATATGGGGGCTTAAACTACAGTATGGGTTAGTACTACTCTATCTTATGGTAAACATTGGTTAGTACAAAGTAATGTTAGGTCTCGTCTGTGACTAGGTATGGCCTGATTAGGCAGTGTGATAGTTGATAGGGCTGTGGTTCATGTAGTCCAGATGTAAAATGGCAGTTGGCACTCAGGTGGCGTCTGTGGTACAGCTATAGTAGTGACAAACATCACAGTTTATGTTGGTCAGCTCACCTTCTCATATCTTCCTCCCTTGAACCACGCCTGTGAGTAAATTACAGGGATCTAAACTGCATTCACAAGTGCGTTATACAAGAGTTTTTTTACATTCTTGTACGCATAGCGTGTCAGGCAGGTCCTTAATCCTAATTTCCCTGGAATACGACCCGCCGAATCGTTTAACAACCAGGTACGCATTCACTGCTGTTTGAACAGAGCCTACAGTTAAGGATTGGCGCCGGGTCAACCCTCCCCAGCCAGGATTCGAACCCAAGCCAAAGCGCTCGCGAAACGCCAAACAAGTGTCCTACCACTGCGCCACGGAGACATATAACAAGTAATCAATGATATGAATAAAACCCAGATACATCATAACCGGTAAACGGGTAACAACTTATAATGGCCACTACAATTATATACACTTCTTGGTTTACCGGATACAGTACTTCTCATGGTTGATGTTGACCTTACCTTGAGGTGCTTCCGGGGCTTAGCGTCCCCGCGGCCCGGTCGTCCACCAGGTAGAGGTCACAATGGCAGTTTCTCGGTTGGTTGACTCATATTTTGGAGTCTTTGACGAGTTGTGCACGTCGTAAGTAGCTCTCTGTTTTGCTTGACAATCAGCTCTGTCTGTGTGTGAGAGCGGGCACTCCTCGCTCCCCAAGTCACGTTCCAATAATCTGTCTTAAGAACTTGGTTTATTTAACAATAGCAAGAGAGCTAAGCTATATTTTCTGGTGTATGGTACAATTATTCAGTCCTAGTGAATACTATTTAATTAAGTTTAAACACTAGACTGTTGTTTAAAGGAATAATTAGAGTTTAATATATATATACGTGTGTGAATTATGGGTTTTCTTGTGACGACGTCACGGAATCTCCCATTTTCTATAAATTCTTAATGGCTAACTATAGTATGTTAACATATGCGTCATTTCCGATAAGTCCATTATTGAGGAAGCACTAAGCCTGTGCGAGGTGAAGTCCACTGTGTGGGAAGAATTACATGACAGCGGAGTGGGGCGAGTAAAGTTAGCGACCTTGAGCCAGATTCACGAAGCAGTTACGCAAGTACTTACGAACGTGTACATCTTTTCTCAATCTTTGACGGCTTTGGTTACGTTTATTAAACAGTTTACAATCATGAAAACTTAGCAACCAACTGTTGTTATTGATATAAACAACCTCTTGGTGCTTCGAAGCTCATTAACTGTTTAATAATTGTAAACAAAGCCGCTAAAGATTGAGAAAAGATGTGCAGGTTCGTAAATGCTTGCGTATCTCCTTCGTGAATCTGGCCCCTTGAGAAGAACCTTACGGACGTGCAACTCGACCCGGGAAAGCCTCGAGTTTCCGTGTCCACGGACACCCCAGCAAGGGAACTAGGGAGTGGCTTAGTTGCCTCACTCACTGCAGGGTGCATGGCTGGGTTCGGAGGGAGCCCGGCTCCACATTTCGACCGAGGTGTTCCCCAGGGGTGAACAGCGGCACCAAGGGAGGAGAGTAGGGCCCCACGAGAAACTCTCGTGGGTACAGTCTCCGTGGTGTAGTGGTAAGACACTCACCTGGCGTTCCGCGAGCGCTTTGTCATGTGTTCGTATCCTGGCCCGGGAGGATTTACTGGGCGCAAATCCTAAACTGTAGCCTCTGTTTAACGCAACCGTAAAATGTGTACCTGGTTGTAACAACGATTCTTAGCGGCAGAGGATCGTATTCCAGGGACCTGCTCGAAACTCTACGCGTACTAGTGGCTGTACAAGAATGTAACAACTCTTGTATATATCTCAAAAAAAAAAAACTAGAGCAGAGGGTGCTGCGGCACTCAAAGGCGGACACCGTTGAACGCTCTAGAGGCACAACGAAACCTCTTAGGGTATCCCCATCACCCCTCGAAGCGTCGACAGAGGGAGATAGGGAGGGAGGTGCCATCCCCATCACCCCAAGAAGCGTCGACAAAGATGATGGGGAGGGAGGTGCCATCCCCATCACCCCTAGAAGCGTCGACAGAGGGAGATAGGGAGGGAGGTGCCATCCCCATCACCCCTAGAAGCGTCGACAGAGGGAGATAGGGAGGGAGGTGCCATCCTCATCACCCCCCTCGAGGCGTCGACAAAGATGATGGGGAGGGAGGTGCCATCAACAGCCTTGGACCGGGAATGAACGCTGAGACATAGCGATAACCTTCAAGACGACGAGAGCTATAGTGTGATGGTGGGAGCTTAGCGTGTTGGTGATCGGGGTAGCAGGTGCAAATTGACATGTGATGGATGAAGGAGAGGGAAAGAAATGCACAGGAATGAAAGAGCTGAGGAAGAGGTCTTAAATGCACTTAGCCGAATGAACTTTGGCGTTATTTGATCATTTTTTCTAAGTATGCTTTGATGTGCCAAAAAATTCTATATATAATTTCATTACTCACGCCTCAATATCTGATACAGTAAGAAATATATATTTTTGTTTAGGTGTCAACGTAGATTACGAATGGTAAATGTAGGTACAATAACGAATGACACGCTACGGTAGTTGTAAAAACAGAACGAGAAAAACTGGTAGGAAGCGCGTCAACTGTACTGGTAGCTAGTGGCATGGATGGTGGTGGCTGCGAGAGGTACTGGTAGCTTAAATGAGGATAATGGTGGTTGATGAGAAATGCTAGTAGCCACTGATGGTGGAGGTGATGGTAGTGGCAGATAGATGGTGGTGGTGGGGTGTTGGTGGAAGATGGTGCGATGGTGGTAGATGAGGGATGATGGTAGGAACTGAGGTTGGTGGATGGTGGTAGGTAGATGGTGATGGGTGGAGAAGGTTGGTGAGTGCAGGGATATGTGAGCTGGTAGTGGAATGAGAGAGGTGGTGAGAGAAGATGGTAGTAGAGACGATGGTTGTGGTAGATGAGGGTTAATGGTAGGTACTGAGAGATGTTGGTAAATGATGGTTGGTAGAATAGTTGATGGGACGACAGGAAAGGAGCTAGGAGAGAATGGAAATGCTAGCAGATGGTGGTAGTTATCAT